CCGGGAACAGCGAGCCACGGCCATTGGGAGCTGCAGGGCGCCCCGCCTGCGGGCGCTCGGGTAAACAAGCCCGCTGACCTTGGCGAGCCACGTGTGGGTGCTAGGACTCCGGGGTGCTCCTCTGCCCCTTTGAGCAGCAAGGGGGACAGAAAATAAAGGCTTCTAGGCTCCCTCCCTACCCCCGCCAGCTCTGGGTTTGGGTAAGTCACTTCCTCTCTCTGCTTTAATTACCCATCTGTAACATGGGATGAAAAGAAGAGCTCTAATGTCCCTGAAACATGGTGAGGTCTGCAGGTGACTCAGTAGTATAGGAACACAACCCCCAGCAGCCCTCTGCTCCCTCTAAGGACATAGAACCTTGTAGGCACTCCCCTTCCCAGTCAGGTAGCTAGCATCTCAGAGGTACACCAGAAGCAATTGACCAGTCAGCCCCATGCCTCATTTGGAACAGAGAATAGCCAAACATCATCAGCATAGCCAAATAAAAACAGATACAGCATAATGCTGCGTTAAATGTAAACTACTAAAAATAAAGGGAAAGTTTCTTTTAAAAAGTTTTGTCAAGGTAATGAAACTGTTTCTGTGCTTGTTTCATTTAAATTAAGATGGTTAAAAGCTGTGTCTTCTGCATAGTAAAGTTTCAAAGCTGTATTAAGTCAATGTTCAGTTGTAAAGTTTAGAAAGAACAAGTACAATGTTTCATTCAGAGTTACAAACAACCTGGGCTTGTCTACACTGGCCCCTTTTCCAAAAGGGGCATGTTAATTTCACAGGTCATAATAGGGAAATCCGCGGGGGATTTAAATATCCCCCGCAGCATTTAAATAAAAATGTCCACCGCTTTTTTCCGGTTTTTAGAAAAGCCGGAAAAGAGAGTCTACACTGGCCCCGATCCTCCGGAAATAAAGCCCTTTTCTGGAGGATCTTATTCCTATTTTGAATAGGGGCATGTGCTAGGGGCATGCGAGACCTCTATGCCAATTGCCCGGAGAGGGACCGCTTCTTGTTGGCGGTCTCCCAATGAGGCACTGAGGAACTTTTCTTCTTTGGTGCCTTTTTGCCCTGAGAGGAACTTGGGGTGACCGTACCTCCCTAGGTTGTACTTGGTTTGAGGCAGGGTGTAAACTCTTCTCCATTAAAATCAGCTCTAATCAGAGATCTTTGTCCTTGCCAACCCTTGCCTTAAGTTTGATGCATTGAGGGCAATGCCGAGTTGAATGCTGCTTTCCCAAACATCTGACGCATTGCAAGTGTTTGTCAGAAATGAGCATTGCTTCTCTGCAGGAGGCACAGTGTTTAAAGCCTGGAGAACTCAGCATGATGGAAAAGAATGTTTTTTTTGTTCTGTTTTTTAAACTACTAACAACTGACTAGATAACACCACTAATAACAAGAACTAAGAATCTATCTATTTCAGAATCATCGAAAAAACAGAACTGTACAGCTCCATCTCAGGACGAGTGTGGTTGAGAAGGAATTGGAGAGTGCAGGCCATGCATGTGCTGGTTGATGCTGTGGCCCCAGCAGGGACTGCTTCAAAATCTCCAGTCCAGGCACTGGGATGGTACCAAGACCCCAGCGTGGAGCATCCATGGGGACTTCTCAAAGAAACAACACGGAACACATTCATACCTTGCAGTCTTGAGCCTTTGTGTAGCACCCTTATGATGATGTCTCTGTTTTATAAAGGTGGGTAAATATGAGATTATAATAACAGCCAATCATACTGGGTCAGACCAAAGGTCCATCTAGCCTAGTATCCTGTCTCCGAACAGTGGCCAATGCCAGGTGCTCCAGATGGAATGAACAGAACAGATAATTATCAAGCAATCCATCCATCCCGTCTCCCATTCCCAGCTTCTGATCAGTGGGGTTCAGAGTTCCCTCTAAGCCAGGGTTTCCCAAATGATATTCTGTGGAACCCCAGGGTTCCATGAGAAAATTCCATTACAATAACATTTTATGATTAAAAATAAGAATAATTAATAATATGTGATTTTTGTTTTTAAATATGTGCAATTAAACTAAATGTTGATCTCATGACCTTGTTTAGCATTTGTTTATTATTATCCTTACTTATTTGTGGTCTACTTTTTCAGCTCTATATATTAGACTGTTATTAGGGGTTCCGCAAAACTATTTAGCGTTTAAAAGGGTTCCGTGGCCAAATAAAATTGGGAAATACTGCTCTAAGCTGTGTGGCCAGCAGGCTGCACAACTACCTAATAAGATCCACACAGGGGCTGCTGCACATGGAACTGCCACAGCTGGGGAAGAGGCCCCTTTCTCCTGGCCTCTGGCCAGACACGTGCATCTCTTCCCTCTGCTGCAGCCCAGGAAGAAGCACACACCCCCAGTCACATCAGGGAACTGCCGTGGCCAGGGCAGACGCATTCCTTCAGCCCCAGCAGTAGGGCTGGATTAAGAAACAGGTTTCAGGGGCTACAGCACTGTGTTTTGGGGGGGGCTTAGTCCGGGGCCCTGGGACACAGATCGTAAAGCCCCTGTGTTCTGGGCCAGCCCTTCCAGGGGAGGTGGGAGGAGGGGAGGTGCAGGGAAGCAGCTCCATGCACTGCCACTCCTGCTCCCAGCCTGGCTGGAGGTGCCAGTGCTCACCTGGACATAAAACCCTGTAGGCACATGTGCGCAGTACAGTAGAATCTCAGAGTTATGAATACCAGAATTATGAACTGATTAGCCAACAACACACCAATCATGGCCAATAGGAGCTTCAGGGGGCAGTGCCTGTAGGCAAGTGCGGGTCAGCACAGGCTGTGCAGAGCCACCTCCATCCCCCACCAAATGGGAGCTTCCCCAGTTAATTGCCCCATTCTCCAGTCCCCAGGCCTTAGCCCTCTCCTGCACTTTAACTCCTTCCCAGACCGTGTACCACCAGCCTAGCTTCCTCCTAGGCCCCATACACCAACCTTGAGCCTCCTTCTACACCCTACCTCCTTCCTAGACCTCGCACTCCCACCCCAACTTCCTGTCTTGAGCTGGCTCCTGTGCTCTAACCCCATGGCCTCAGCCTGGAGCCCCTTCCTGCATCCTAATCGCCTCAACCCCAGCTAGAGCCCTCATCTCCCACAACCCTGAGCCTCCTCCCACAATCCGAACCCCTTGGCCCTATCTCCATCACAGATTACCATGTGCAGAATTTTGTTGTGTGCCCCATTATGGAAGTGGCATGTTGCACATTCTCTCCATATGGATGCACATAACAAAATTCATTCTGTACATGGACATAAAAAATTAGAGGGAACACTGGTGAGGGTGGGATCAGTGTTCCCATCATGCTCTCTATCAGTAACCAGGACGGGCCAGGGAGGCTAATGATCCAACCAGCGAACCAAATGTGGTGAAGAATAATGGTCACATGCCATCTGAGGTGCAATGCATATTTGCTGAGAAGAAGTGATGATGTAATGCAGTCAAATTCTGCTTGAGAGCTGGATTCTCTACATCAGGGGTGGCCAACCCATTTAACAAAGAGAGCTGAAATAGCAGCGGAAAAATGCGAAGTGCCGCACCAGAATTGTCAAGAAAAAAAAAAGGGAGGCTGCCCCTTTAAGGAGCAAGCAAGCTTAGGCTTTTTGGCCATATCAGGCCACTATCTTGGGTACCATTTTGAATTGCCAACCCAGTGAGCGCTGGGGAGCCAGAGGCTGGGGGAAGAGCCCCAAGCTGTTTGGAAGGAGCAGCTTCATGAGCCACACTTTTGGGGGGGAAGAGCCGCATGTGGCTTGCGAGCTGCGGATTGGCCACAACTGCTCTACATCAGGTGAAGAGAGAAATAGAAAAGTTAAGAGTTATGTTCTGGTAGTGGAGGGTGATTCTAAAACTCTTAATCTTAGACTAAGAAATTGGATTCAAAGTGAGAGGCATATGCTACAAATGCACCGCAGGATCTTTCATTAAGGGCAGAATT